AGGTGAAACGTCTTCAAGTAACTTAAAGAAGTCCAGACGCTTTTCTTTGCAAGCTCCTTCATGATTATCCTTTGGATTGTAGCTGCTGTAATTAAACTTCCCCATCTCTGGGTGGACATGACTCTAGGAATATTCAAATCCTGGTTCCAGTGCCTGCATAGACTCCAGGTATCATCAGAGAGAACATGCGACATCATTGTGGTGTTGTTCTCTGTAATATTGCCTCTCTTAGCAGCACCCTGACATATGAGTGGATGAACCTGGGGAAGAGGATCCTGTTCACCCTGAAAACGTTCATGAGAAACCATTTGCTAAAATCGCTTTTCAGATTCGTTTACCCCACCCCCAGAGGATAAATGAGGACTCTTTATTCAACATTTCATTTGTTCTTCTTTATTTCCTACAAACACAAAACCAACCGTTACCATTCGTGGATTTATCTGAGAGTAACCACCTGTAACATGTTACCCACCTCTAACTGGTGCTCCAGTAATTCAATTTCCAGATCTGTCTTTCTAATCTGACGATCCAAGTATGTGATTTCTCTGTCAGTTTTTGTCATTGTTTGGATGAGGTGCATTTTGTACATTTCTTTAACTGGTAACTGTAAAATGTAAGAATGGCTTGAAATGTGGTGCAGTTTAAATAAAGCTATGAAAATGCAGAATGGCATCGAACGTCTCACTGTGTTGATATGTGCTGGGGTAGTTGGTGGAGCTTCCTCTTGATGATGTTCGGCCTTGCTCTGTTAATTTAAAAGATAAAAACATGAATATGAAGGTTGTTTTCCAGTCATCGTCATCACTTCACATTTCAAATACAAGAACACACAACTAACACATACCTCTACTGTCATGGTGTGTACCTCACTAGGTCTATCTGGTTCTTTCTCAGCAGATGATGTATCCTTATCGTCATCTTCGTCTGCTTCCTGTGATGAAGAGCAGCATTCTGTTTTAGAAACCTTTCTTTAGAAATATCTGAGGAGCACTCAGTCACCTACTTACTGATGGAAGGGATGGAAATGCTTCTGTCTCATCAAGGCCATCAGCAACTGTTGAAATAAATATGCAGGTGAGCACATGGTGGCATTATGAATAAGTCAGCAGGGAACAGCATTCCTAAGTAATAAAGACATTATGGAAAATGCATGTCCAAGCTAATAGTAGTAACAAGGATCAGTACTGCACTGCTGATGAAGAAGTTTAGCTACTGTTTCACCAAATGTACCTTTAGTTGAGACAATGCAGACAGAAATGATCCCATTTAAAACACTTGTGATTGCAATTTGTAACTCACTATGTACTTTGGTCAGACGTGGCCAAAGAGTTTGGCTGAGATGGTTCCTGAAGTTTTTAGTTATTTTTTAAAGAGATATAAATGAATTCGATATTTTGTTTGTTTGTTGCATTTGATTCTTTATGCTTTGCATTTTACTTTCACTTTAACTCTTAAACTGTTGGCACTAAAATTTACTTGGTTATGTTTATAAAAAGGAAGGAAATGAGAATTTCATCCCACATATTCAAATTTCATGTATGTGTGTGCGATAAATAATTACATTTTATGCAGACACTTGCGGGCTCAGCCACCGGGCATCCAGCATCCTTACTCTTGGAAAACTCTTCTGCCTCCGTCAGCATGGGTGGAGGTGCCCCTTCAACCACTTTGCGAGCCTCTGTCTTCTTTCTGTTAGCTAAATTGAAACCATATGTTAATCTGAGCAGGATATTAGGCCCGTGGGTTTAAAAAATAATTATGGACTCATATACAAAAGAAAAAGTGGGCCTTACCTGTTTGAACTATGTTTTTATATTTCATTTTCAGCTGCTGCCAAGTCCTTTTTGTTCCCGTGGGATTGCACCTTAATTAAAATTACGAGTAAAAATTCGCCTGTAAATGCATCTCAGGATTCACGTGTATTTACTATTTACCGTTTCAACTCACGCATTTACACGCGCTGCGATTCTCTCCCACGCCACTTCTCTCTCCTTTGCTGCTGCAGCCGTGTTGCCTTTCTTGCTAAAAACGTGTCCGTACTCTCCATATACAGCCAGCAGAATATCTATTTCAAGTGGGGTGAAGTAAGCCGAGCGTTTTCTCTGCCCGGTTTCCATGGTGAATCATAGACTTTTGGATTTTGGATTGGATTTAAAAAAAAAAAAAATGGTATCACGCACGTGCTTACCTCCGGGTGGGCATACTCAGAGTTGATTAAACTAACTCTGATCAGCTGTTCTGAACGCTCAGCGTTTATCGATTCGGAGTTTCTTTTGAGTTTGTTGATCTCCCTTCCTGGATAAGAGCCCTGCTATACAGTCTTCTTCTTCTTCTTTTTATTATTATTGTTGTTGTTGTTGTTGTTGTGGAAGAACTGTGTGTTTGTATTCAGAGTCACGTCATGTATTTCTATGGACATAGTGATGACTGACATGCCTCATGCTGAACACTCCCGATATGAAAATCTTTCTACGTGGATGGGAGAAGCTTGGGCACTTCCTTCTCCAAGCTGCAGAGGGCGCTGTTTCTCCTTTTACACATGCTACAGTGTCATGTTTTTATTGCCGCATGAAGATTAGAAGTATCATTATAGTTTCTTTTTACATGTTTTTGTGCACCTGCCAGTTTAAAGGCACATTTATTTCAGCATTTTTATGTCAGTTAAAACGAAGTCCATTGTTGAAAATGAGAGAAAATGTTGTGTATTATGTAACTGTGTGAAGCACAATGGATAAAAAAAAGATCACGTGTTCATGATCACATCCAACAACAAGCTGTTCTCTAAGCATTTCAGATGGTGTTTTACACTTTAAAACACGATGTACAACAAGTCGTATGTGAGATGCAGATGTGGCATTGACTCAGTGACAGAGCAGAGCTGTCTGTTACTTATCTCTCAACTGTTACAACCTGGTGCTCATAATTACTTCATTCATACCCAAGCAGTCATGTTTGTGTCGTCAAAATCTTTTTGAATAAGCTGTAAAGCATTATAGATGTAGTTTCTCCACAACCGTATATATTGTGGTGGCATTATCACCACTGGAAAACACATTTAATATCATAATACATTTAAGTGCAGAAGCAAAAATAACGACAAAATCACAAAGATATTCTTTATTGTGTTCAAAC